TTTACAGTCAGTTTATCTTCATGTTTGCGTTATTGGAGGGATACTCTACATCATTCAATGTATAATATCTGTCATGTTGAGTGCAATTTATTTTTTAGAAGGTATTGAATTCGCCTTCTCTGTTTTATCTTAACCTCTGCATAATGTACGCTAAAGTGATTGCGTTAATTTGTGAATTTTGGCCAAACATCTAAAGGTGATCCATTTTTGAGATACGGATTCATTTTTCTAAGGCATAAGTGATACTAAAAGAACAGTTATTCACTACTCCATAATTATCAATAGTTGTTCTTCAGTTAATATCAGTTCGTTATGAAACAAACCTATTAAAACAATAAATTAATTACTATCAGAAGAGGTTTATGTGGAGAATTAGTATTTTCATAGTTGGAAGCGTGAGTCAATGGAAGCTAGGCCACCGAGAAGAAGCTGGAATCAGTGGACGACCGATTCGTCCTATTGTGAGACGCATTGAGCAGTGCGCATCCACCACCTCACCTCAACACATTCCAACACAGGAACAACCAGTCTCACACCACAGCACGTAACACATACACCACTGAGCCGGCATCCCATGGTGTTTATGTGTAACTCCAACCAATCCACCAAGTTCACCAACCGTTCACCAATTGTCTTCAGTCAGTTCATATCTCACAACAGACGTGCTTTCAACTCCACTGGTCACTGCCTCTCACTAGAACTCAAGGATTTACCTCTCGAAGTCAGTCACTAGTGAGCATATGATTATTATTATTATCAAAGCGGGTTTTTGTGGAGATTATTAATTATTAAAATGACTTAGTAACCCATTCAAATAATTAATATTTATTATAAATAAATTCTTTTTCATTGACTGACTATTTTGACCTTTGATAATGTTTGACACTTAGTAAAGTTTTATTTTGGTAAATTGTTATCTGAACATTCCATCTGTCGGTATACATCACTGCTGTGAATAGATATTTCCTTAGAATTATTAATGAAGATTTCTCACTTACTTTTCTGTTATATGACTTTACAACTACCCAAGATTTATATACATACATAATTTTATTCACCTCAAATAGTTCGGTATATATATATATATATATATATATATATATATATATACCATAATTTTTGGATTTGGTTTTTATTCATTTGTTTTAATGGGAACAGATGCATGATGATGTTCACCAGACAAATATGTTTATATACCATTTAAATTTTTATATTTTGAACTCGTCAGTGTACTCGTTTGTCTATTTATGTATTTGTGCATGATTGTGTATATAATACTTTATTAGACTGAATTTTTTCTTTCTTTCTCATTTGCTTATTACCGATTCCGTTGTAGGAGAGAATAACGTAAACTTTTTACTATGATATTTTCTGTTTGTCTTACTGAATTCCCTTTCTTTTTCTAATACTCGTTATTGTCTTACACAATAATTGGTATAAAAGAAAGATAATAGTTTCATATAAATAGGATAGAGATATATATAGTTTAGTATTAGTGGCTTCGGTCAATTATGATACCACTTTTACCATAACTGATCATAATAGTCATACTGTTTCTCATCTCACTTTTACTAATAGGAGTCCATCGTATATGCTTCTTCGTGTCTATGATTGCATACTAATGTATGTTGTGTGTAGGTATGTGAACAGCAAGGAGGGTGGGAGCTTTCTTCACCGTTGTTTTCGTTTGTATATTTTACATTACTATTACTATCATTAGCTCCGTGTTATTGACCTTTATATAATTTGATGAATTAAAGATAAGATTTTATACTCTTTACGCGCTGTCTACTTCAGTTTTTTTCTCGTTGTTGTTGGCGCCAGTTTATTCATATGTGTCATTCATGGTGGTGTTTTCGGTTGTCATTTGTTCCGCTTTTTCTAAGTATGTCTGTTTGTTGTAGATATGTAGATTTGCTGGCTAGACCAAGCCCACCCTCATATATATATATATATATATATATATATATATATATATAATTTATCATTTCTCTTCGGTGAAAAAAAGCACAGAGAGTATGAGTCAGTTTTTTCTGTTGTTAGCTCTTTTCATTCACGTAATAGTAATAACGGAATACAATAACCATATCCAAAGAAAACAAAGTTATTTCTATATCGCAATGACCTCATATCGTTTATGCTATATATAGTTTAATAGAATCAATGTCAACTAATTTTTCATGTACTTATAACAGGTTTTATTTTGAAGAGCCAAATAATAATCAGCCTTTTATTTTAGTGTAACCGTAATGTAATCTGACTACGTTTGGAGTGTCTTTTTTAATAATTGTTTAAATTTTCACGCATCAGTGAACTCATAATGAAAGCTAACAGGGTTTACATTTTTACACTAACAAAGTACCTGTAGTTTCTATAATGATAATAATTATTTAGATTTGTTAGTTAGTTTCTTATTTTAATGTTTAATAATAGAAAACGTTTAGTTGAAGTGTTTTTGTAGAATAGGTTGTTTTCATTTGTCAGTTTCATCTTCCAAAATCGATCTTCGTTCGAAAAGCCATATCCATTGGTTCTAGTTGCTTGGTGTTCGCTTTTGGGCTTCCTGGCCCTGGTTTCTATTCCTAACGACGTGGTAAATGCACTTTGTTAAAATGTCTCATACCATGATGAAACATCTATTCAGTGCTCCGTGGTTTTAAATGATAACCCAACTGAGATGAATCTGTTACAAATACAACATACATAATGTATTTCTCGAGTGCTAATATATGGTGACTAATGGGTTAATTGAGCATTCCTAATAATTTCAAGCTCTGGAAGTTTGTCCAACTATAATCTAATAAAAAGAGATCAGGATTTTCATCTTAATATCTAAAGTACTTTGGATCCCTTTTTTATCCGTACACTGTCTATCGCAGTCATTAACAAAGCTCTTGGTTGTGCTGCTGATGTCTTCTATTTGAAGTGATTGTTCATAAGTTTATGTATGTGAGAGTTGTTTCAAAGGTTTGGAGCTTCCTTTGCCTATTCTAGTGTAAACAGTCCGTAGGTCAAAATTTGGACTATGAACTTGTATTTGGTTACAGGTTTTTAATAACGTTAATAGAATAAGTACTTTTGCGTTGTTCAAATGTATTTTTTCTAGGTATGTTTCCTTTATACAAGTCGTTCTTTTTTAAATTCCGACAATTTAATCGCCTCCTTTTACACCTGAAGTTTGATTTAGTGTTGTGAAAATTACTTTGATATGTAAAAGAATTTCATCACGGACTGACATCATTTGGTTTACCGTTGTAAACAAGGGGATAATGGACAGCGATTTCGTCTTTTTTTTCAGTCTTCTTATAAGTTTGAAACAATGAATCCACCAGGGATAGAAACAAGGGTCTTTAGGTCTTGCACTGATCTCCTTAGTTTTAGACCACTGAGTTAAAATACAGTGGTTTACAGAAATAGTCTCAATCGTTTCGCCATATAGAGTGACAATTATACAATCCTGTCGGTAATGACTGTTCCAGTCTCAACATAGTTGGACTCCATGGCCTACAAGTTTCGAATAGAACCTCGGAGACCCATTTCTAAGTTACTCACCAATACATATACGATTATCCGAATTTAGAATTTATTGATTTATTTATTTAAACACATACATATTGGTACAAAAGGACACCAGATACATATGCGAATTTAGAAAGGTAAATCACTTGGTTTCCCATCCCACCAGCCTAAAAATATCACACTTGCCTGGAGACTACATGGTCCTGGTTTCTATCTCTGATAGAGTCACTGGTGTTCATACCTAGGGAGTCTTATTCTAAGACAAGATTGGTGTTGAAGCCTATACGGTTCTCACTAATACTCGAACTCATACCAACTCGCAACAAATAACACTTCTGAAATTTATTTGTAATTTAGACTGTGAACTTACAGATTAGTGAGTTCGTAATGTGTATCAATGTAAGAATTCGTCTTATTCTCTAAAATAACTCAGTATATATTAGTTTACCGTTCTCTTAATTACATAATAAAGTTACTATCGTTTATTACTTGTAATCATCTTATTTTGATTAATAGTTTTGCACTACAGTCATACATATCTTGTGTATATTCTATTTTTAATTTAGAAAATCTTACTATTCAGTGTGAAGTCTAGTTATAAACTTACATGTTTTAAAGATAATTACAGATCTGTTCTGATTATCTATTTAAACGTATGTAAGATTTAGGTGAGTGTAAAAACTATATCACAATAGTTTATATGCATCTTCCTATTTTTCTCAATAGGTATGGAGTTTTATTTTATTCTTGTTTTGTTTACCTCAACTATTGTTTTTCTCCGGGTTCTTCGTCATTAGTTGTATTTTCTTTTAGCGACTTTTTCCTGTCATCTCTTTCTACAAGTAGGTGTGTAATAGCTTTAGTTTATACTTAAAACTAAATGTATTGAAATGTGCTTGACTACGTAATCATATAATATTTAGGTAGAGATTCTAATTGCTTTGTTTGATCAATTTATAACGCTTTATTATAAGATCATGTTTGTTCTAAGTAGGAATAACTGTAATTTTTACTTGGGATTATGTACATAAAACCTTTTGTTGGATAAAGATTACTCAAACATAAATTAATAATAGGTTTTGTTTGTCTTTCTATCTAGTATAATATAATTAGTGAATTCATTGGACATTTAGTGAAATGTCGAGTATGTAACTAAAACCAATTATCTCTGGAGTATTTTTGCAATTTTGTTATTCTTCAAGGTTTAGTTTTCACGATCTGAGCCTCTGATATCATTTAGGTTAATGTATTCAGTGTAGTTATCTTGGAATATTAACGTATGAAGTTTCACTAATAATGACACCACAATGAATGTTAAAGGTTATATTTATTAATAACCACTTGACAAGTCACATAATATTGAACAAAAGTAGTAGCTAAGAGTTGAGTACATATTTTCTTGCTGAGTTACATAAAATAAAATATTCACTACATCGAATTATTTCGCTAATATATTTCATTCCATTCCTTTAACTTTACAGATATTGTTTGTCTGGGATTAAAACATATTAATCATCCAAATTGTAGTAATCATGAATCTCACGTTAAGGGACTCAATACTGGTTCAGAATATTCTAAGGATATGATGTCATTATTAATACCACCGTCTGCATTATCTTCGTTGTCATCATCTTCATCGTCAACAGAATCGACATCTGCAGAAACACAAATCTCATCAATTCGGATGGATCAATCATATAATTCAGGTAGGGTGATATACATATATATGCTCTAGTTTGTTGTCAATTTTATAGTGGTATGTAATGCACTTACTTTATTGTCAAAATCTTGCCAAATTGTTAGTTTTTCTATTGAATAAATGCACAATATTTCAGACCATCTTAAAAGTAATTTGCTTACATAACTTGATGGTTCTGAGGATTATTAAATTGTGGTTGTGAAATTCTGATATTCGGTATAAACAGTATGTCTTCATAATCATTTTATTCTTTCTGTTTGCTGCTATATGTTGATGATAACTACCGATTAACACAGATTGTAATACTACAGTGTCTTGACGATTGCGCCATTAGTAATTCAGAGTTTAGGACACCTCAAATTTTGTTCAAGATAAATAATACACCAATATGTTTATAAAGCCTAATATATCGATAGGTCTATGGTTTAAATAAATACCGAATAGCGTTAATACGGTATCCTTTGTAGTAGACAATCACTGGTAAAAAATGACAAGATTGCTCCGCAGTTCGGGCTTATATTACACTTTTGTGGTAATCGTTTTTGTTCAGATGGAAGGATAGTCCTTGTACATATATAGTTTTCTTTTTAAATATGATCATTTCAGTTGTTTGAAGAGCAATCCATCATTAATTTGCTTAAATAAATATCAAAGTACATTTTTATGTAATTGACTTTAAGCCATGTTTTTTGGCTAATAAAGACAAATAATATCAGCCAGCTATTCTAAGCAGAACTTTAATGCAATTTGAACCTACAGCCCAATGATTGGAAGCAAAATGGTGAAATTACTAAGCGTTTAATCCAATTGTTAATCAAACCACAGTTTCAAGATATCCTGGTTTTCTTTAAAGGGTTTGTTGTTGTCATCTCATATTCCAGATAGATTTTCTGGGTTTTTTCGATTTAATTGACTCACATTCGCTAGACACTTGGGTACGAGCCACTCTCCAAGTGTGGAGGTTAATGATGCTACGCGGTTGCTCAAACTGAATTAGACGAAGAGATTTCGAACCTTGAGCTTAATGACTGAAAGTCGAACGTCTTAACCACTAAACCACCACTCCATCATATTAAATAATTTATCCGGGTAGGCGACGGCTAAAGATGTATGACATATATGTTTTCAGCTTTGAATTAATCTCTTACTCCTAACCTTAATATGACCAAATTTTTATCCACTCGCTTTTCGAAGTTTCATTAAGAACTCTTTAAGCCTGTGACTATTTAATTTCGATAATTTTACAAGTAATCCTATTCTGTTTGGTGCATCATTTATGAATACTTGTATTTTCCCTTTTAATTCTTTAGTTGTATCATATGATTCAATTACAAATAATTCTTCAGCTCCGTTGCTTACCAATCATGATACATATGCCAAAACAAAACTGACTTACTGGTCACCTCATTTTCTCCATAAAATGCAACAAAAATTGCACATGAATGTAATGAATTCTGTTTCATCTTTAACCAAGTGGAAGAGATTGAGAGACAATACAAATTTTACATTATCTACTTACTTGGTTCCATCTAAAGATTTCAATCATACAACACCACCACCAACAACAACAACAACGACTACTACTACTACGACATCTATAAGTAGTTTTGATGATGAAATGCATAGTTGTAGTTTCATATTGTCTTCTAAAAACCCTATAAATGATAATTCTTTACAAAATTCTAATCTACACTTTAACCGATTCATTTCTAACAGCGATCATTCTGTTACAATAAATAATGAAAAATCTGATTTACATAGTCGTCTTTCTTCCCCCTCTCCTCTACATTACCTTAAACCGTGGGCAAATATTTCCTATTGGGAATCACATCATCATGTTGGACGTAGATGGTATCAAATTACAAATCGTAAATTAAACATTGTCTACAATGATGTTAATATTAATGATGATGATCATAATAATAATGATGTAAAGGACAAATTATATTCATCTCCGAAACAAGCACATATACATAAGAAAAATCATTCAAATTATAGGAGTAAATCTCAAAATGATTATATATATTTATCTTTACTAACTTTATATCAATCAAATCATGTAAAATATAATTGTAAATCAGGTTGTAATAGAAGTAGTAATAAACTTTTCAAGAATAATTCGACCACTCCCTCTATTACTTGTCATACGAATAGGATTAGTGGTAATAACAGTAGTGTCATCAGGTCATCTTCAAAACAATGCAAAAAGTGTTATAATTATGTGGATTCATTCAACGATACATCTCTTACACCAAATTTAATTGTTCATTCATCAATGTATAAATCATCTTCTGGTTGGAAACAATGTTGTCGTTTAGGCAGCCAGGGTATTTCGCTTACACTTACCACTTATGGTTGTGTATGGTTAAGTAATCAAGCGTTGGCTACAAACCTACCTATATTTGTATCATCACCGTGTTTTCATTTTCATAATGCTAATTCTTCTTCCTCTTCTTCTTCATCGCTTAATAGTAGTGCTGAAGACTTTTTTGTTGATAGACCTGTATACCGTGTACCAGCTGGTTATTCTTTATTGGTTTTCGATCTTTCATCTTACGAAAACTGGTTGCAACAACATTCTTCTTCATCATCTTCGGCGTCATCATCATCATCTTATCGTCAGTATTCCGGTAACAACCATAATGGCGACAACAACAATTTAAGTTGTAATAGCAATAATAGTAATAATATAGATTTTGACGAGTTGCAAAAAACTCATTTGTGGGCAAAAAACAACAATCTATGCAAAAATCCGATTATACATATAAGTTTAGGTAAAGGTTGGGGACCATCATATCGTCGACCAGATGTTACACATTGTCCAGCACGTTTAGAGGTGTGGATTAATTTAGAACATCTGTTTCCTGTATTCATTTCAAACAAATAAGATATTGTAAAAAATAATTTTCTTTCCCGATATCATCTTCATTATCTATTCTCCCTTTTTTGCTTATTTTTCTTGTTATTATTGTGATTTAGTGAAAAATATGTATATACATAACATGTGTAAATAGTAAGGAACCGTTATGTGCCACCTAACTATTAGCATCTTGTTTGTGATCAGTTTTTATGCTACTCGATTAATACTAATTATAATGAGTAAAACGTAGTATTGAATAATTGCAGAAGTGTTTTCACAATATCTGTACTGTGATATATGTAAGCCCTTATTCTCTTCATTTTAACTAATACAGTAAGAATGATTACGTTAGCATTTGTGAATGTGTCCTTTTTTACTTGATGATCTCATGTATATTCTTTGCATACTTATGCATTTTACTAAGTGATTAGTTTTTGTATTATAAAATTTCTGAGCAGTAAAGGTGTTTTTTTATTTAATTTTTGGGAAAGTTTGGACGTGTTCGACGAGTAGTCAATGTAAAGGTTTACTATTTTAGAATGTAAAATTGTGTAATTTACAACTTATTTTTGTGTGCCTTATTTCGACCATTATCGTAAAATAATTATGGATATATGGATCGTTGAGGCTGATGACAGAGAAGACATGTTGTTTTTTTATTTTCATACTTCTAATTAGGCTTTGTGACTTGTTTTTGAGGTGTATTTTTAATTCATCTTCATTTCCAGTCCATAAAAATACTGTCTTATTCAGCGGATGGTTCCTACATAGTAGTATTCTTATTTTCCTCAAACCACATACTGTATTACATAATCAAACTGTTATCACTAAACATTGTGTATTCTTGGCAAGTGTGATTGTATACTTAAAACTGATGATATTCTTATCTCTACACCTTCATTGAGAATTGAAGTCAACAATTGTGTTAGATTTTCTCCAGTAAGAAGACCAATTTAAATAGTTTCCTGAATAATGGAAGTGTTTAGTCAGTTTCTGTCTGTTCAGCTATCATAAGAGCATTCAATTTCCTAATTATCTAAATGAATCATAAGACTGACCTAAGGAAACTGAATATAGTTTCAATTTATCCGTTAGACTTACACTACTAGTATACCCTGTAAAGTTATTTCTTCCAAATTTTATTCATTGATTTCAGATAACTCTTAAGTTCGTGTGAAAGGACTCAGTTAACGTAATATACTCAGCTCGAGATGCCTGTTGATACTGACAGGAAAATCTCATGTTTCATTGTCGATTAAGATAATAATCAATCCCAATTGTAATATACAAACCATGAAGCAACTAGTAATTAGGCACATCGAGTTGTTTTCTCTTCCAAGCAGTTTGAAGATCTGTGAACATCCTAAACCGTATTGTCGAATAGACAAATGTAAATAATGTACGACTCAAAGATTTTTAACTTTGAATATTTGTCGCATTTCAAATTAACACAGAAAAATCTTTAATAAGGTGGACTTCAACGAAGAAGTCTAAACCATTTGCCACAGATCACAACAACAGTCAATGACTATGTGAATCCATATATTTTCATGATGTGGTTGTCCCTAAAAGTTTTGTAACCGACTACTATGCTATTTAAAGTAGCATCGACGAAAGCGGTGGTTATCCATGCCTGAAATCTGCTCTAACGACTGCAGTCAATTGAAATGTCATAAAAGTATTATGATATTTATAACACTTTTCCTTTAAAACTTATAACTGTTTGGCAATTAGTTAATTGAATAAATTTTCCAACGAGAAACAACAAGTTTATTATGAACAATGTATTTGTGTATCGGCCATTTCTTTAATTTGATTCAGCATTGAATTACTTTGTAGGAATATAGTAAATCACAAAATCTTTATAATTGTTATATCTTGTCTTGGATTTTATATTATTCTTGTTGTAGGATCCTTTTGTCTAAGTTGTCTGTCTTATTCGATAGTCAACTGCAGCGGGAGTAGTGGCATAGTTTGTCATTTCTTTTGGCAGTATACTATCATCATGATTATCAGTAGATATCAATTTGATTCGTGGATCATCTATTATATTCAAGTGTCTTTAAAAGAAAATAAAGAAACACGAAACAAATATTAATGAGAAAATATGTCGTTATTTTCCAGGTATACTAAATTAACTAGGATTAACCATGATCGTTAGAAATTTGTGCTTATTCATCGATTGTAACAGGGTCATGTATTGGTTGGATTCTTATGTAGAAACACGATCTATTCAGAGTATTTACGCATAAATAGTTAATTTTTATGGTACGGTCTCTCAGATATCCTATAAAAGTGAAACTTTTCTGTAACTAATGGTGCGTATACTTCAAGTGTTAGATTTACTGTAATGATTAGTGATAATAAAGACGCTACTACCAAACATTTAACAACGAGCTTGGGCTTTATAATTAAGATAATAAACTAGTCCGTGCGTCAAATGTTTGGTAACAAGATTCAATTACCAATGAAGTTGCTATAACACTTAAATGTATAATATTATAATCAATAATCGCTTACACAAAAGACAAATATCCATTAAGGGGTTGATATTATCAGATTTATAAAACTCACTTTAAATTTGATCGTCCATTTACAACAATTAATGAATTATCACCAGATATAACTTCACTATTAACTGATATACCATCTAAATATTGTTTCAATAATAATTTTAACTGAATATTTTCTTGTTCTAACATATTGTATTCTTTAATTATTGCTAAACGATCTAATTGAACTTTATTAAATCTTTTCCAAAACATTTCAAGTGGAAGGCATCGTTTTATTATCTGAAATTTTCAAAAAGTTAAAATAGAATATCATTATAAATTAATTTACCAACTAAAAATAATTAAAAACTTTCACACAGAAATAATTGCTCATCTAAACTGGTTGTTCTCCGTTGACATGTGTGAGCTTTTTGAAAAGAAAATACATAAGATGAAGGTGAACATTTTTCTAACTTGCGATTATGATTTTGTTGAAGCTACGTTTTCACAACCTGGTTGGTTCAATAGCGAAGCTCGAAACTGCTTATAATTTGGTCAATAATATATTTGATGATATAAAATTTATCTTGAGAAAGAAACCAAACAACTGACTGTTCTTCTTGGATGTGTTGATCACCAAAATCAATACAGGAAAACCAGAGACTCATGTGTATCATAAGCCAACCTATGCTGCACAAATTTTTCAGTTACTTTATCAAAAACTAACAAAACAACTGCATACAATCTTTCGATTCTAAAGAGCGAAGACATGGCAACATAACTACCAGGCAAAAAATGAGGAACAAAATCAAACGACCTTTTCAGCAGGACAGTCACTATGTTTATCAACTTCATCAATAAGCACTAAATCGAATATTAAAACTAAAAAACGAACTATCCTACCTTATATGCAAAAAATAAAGGAAGTCACAATTACAATGGGAATAGACGTTGGTCGTAAACCAGTTGGAGGACTTCAATTTTATACAAATCAAAAGATGAAACGATAAAAGACCAGCCGAATATCATATATATGATTCAAACGGAAAAGTAAAAATACTGATGAAACGAAGAAAATACTAAAAACTTATCACCTTCGCTATTTCTTCATTCTGTTCACTTTCGAACGATTCTTGCACAACACTTTCTTCTTCCGCTGATAAAGATGATGCATAGAATGGTGTAACTTTTTCCTCTTCTGTCTCATACTTTCTGCACTGTTCACCTAACTTGATAATTTTCTCTGCTTTTTCCAATAAACATTGAAGCTGTAATTAAATTTTTGAAAAAAAACATTACATGAAATTAATTACAGTATAAACGTTTAAGACTAACTAAAAGCTGAATATGTAACTACATTGATTTCATTAAGCTTTTATTCGTAAATTTCATAGTAGCTTATTCCCTCTTTGAGATGTTAACTTTGATTGAATCAATCTTCTTATTAGGATAAATTAGGTAGTCATTTACTTCGAACTGTCCTGTATTATAGATAGTACTGATATATGAGACAAAACATCTACTATTCAGTGACCAAGTAGTTTCATAAGGAATACTGACAATTAGTATTGTTCACAATTACCTTTTTTATAGCATCCCCACTTTCAACTGACAATTTAATCAATTTTTCATGTTGTAGGTCACGTAATTTATTGATTTGTATCTTCAAGGCTTGGAATCGAACAACTAGCTTATCACGTTCTTCTTTTAAGTTATGATTTTTTTCTTCATATTCCTTAGATGTTTTTATCATACGACGTTTAGTAGCCGCTATATTATCATTGATTTTTTGGATTTTGTTTAAGTGTAATTGAATTTCAGCAGCTGAACGTTCATCTTTTGCTTTTAAGTTTTCAAAAAATGTCTTTTTTTCACTGGTAGTTGTTGAGTATTGGGTGGAAGCCTGTTTGAATTCAGACCACAAACTATTGACCTTATTCTCCAAATTTATTCTCAATGTGTGTTTTTCTTCCAAACTCTACATGAAAAATATGTGTAAATTATTGTTTACTACGTATAACAAATTTCAGTAACATATCTTACATAGTACAAGTTTAATCAAGCCTGTGGATGACAATAAGTTAGAAAAGAGATAAAATATATCAGAAGATTTGCATTAAAATCCATACAGATTAGCAGCATAGGGTCTGAAGTCAACCGTATCTGCAGCGAAGTAATACCTTGACAACAAAATTAACTGGGCACAACACGATGTCGATATTCACTGAAGTTGAATATCTAAACCAATGAATTCTAACTCAGTTGTATATTTAAAATTTGCTCTCTGTGAAGCCGGAAGGTCATGGAATCGATCCCATGTGGCACCATTGGTTCACATTAATCGAGAGTTCTAAGTCACAAGAAATATTTGTTCATTTACCCACTAGTTCTCAATACATCTACAACTGATATCAGCTCATGATAAATATTATCCTCAAATAAAAAACTAATGAACAAATGATTAATATATGGGTAGGCATTACGTATGTGCATAAAACTAAGATTTGAAGGAGAGGACGTCAGGGTGAAAGTAAACCTTCACTTTCCTACTTAACTCACGTCAACAGTTAGTGACCTGGTGGCCTCCTATTTCGCATTAATTAACCTTCACTTGTTTAGCTTAATGTGAATCTCTTCAGCCTAGTCTAATTATTTTGAGGGGGGATACGATGGCAAAATGTGTTACATACTATTTATGTCTGTCGACATAAGCAGCATACATCACTGTATCACATCTCTCGATCAATTTGATGATCACCGTTGCATAAGATTTCATCAGCCGATTCATCTTTATCTGAAACTTCCTGGGCAACTTTATCACTACTCGCTCAAGGCTTCCACTACAATTTATTTATTTAAACACATATATATTGGTACAAAAGGGCACCAGGTACATATGCGCCACACAAAATAATGAAAGTAGGTAGATAAAGGATGAAAAGATAAGGCGGGCTGAAATGTACAACCAAAAGATTCTTTCAGTTAGGAAAGTTAGAACCATTCTTTATGTAGAAAGTAAAAGAAGGTTGCAGCAGGATCGCCACTGGCTTCTATTCTGAGCCATATCCGATAACGTCTCTAGCCACTGTGTTGCACTATCTCTCGGACCCCAACCAGGGAGTCGTGAAGGACCAACGGAAGCTAGCCCTTTGCAGCTCTCTTTCATGCCACGACACCATGTCATACACTGACCTCCTCTCCGCTTTCTCCAACCAGTCCCAGGGTCGGCAAATAATGCGCGACGTGGAAGTCTCTGGGACGACATTCGTAGAACATGTTCAAGCCACCGAAGTCGGTGCTTCAAGATGGTGACACCAATTGGACTGTCGTCTCTGTGCCCGGATACACGATACCGAACCTCTGCATTACTAACATGGTGTTGCCACTGGATGTCAGCAATCCTTTGGAGACAACGATGATCGAACACAGAGAGACGTCTAACATCCTCAACTCGGAGAGGCCAGGTTTCACAAGCATAGAGCAAAACTGCTTTCACCGACGCGTTGTAGATCCGACCTTTTACAGCCAGACTAACATCACGAAGGCGCCAAAGATGGCCCAGATTGGCATAAGCCGCTCTGGCTTTCATTATACGTGCATCAATCTCATCACTCACGCCACCACCAGCACTTATATAGCTACCTAGATACACGAACTTCTCAACTACTTCGATCTCCTCACCATCCAGGGTGAGTACAGGATTAGAATCCTGCCAGTCTTGTAGAAGTACTTTGCACTTGGAGGGTGCAAAGCACATGCCGTACCTGCGGACACTGATTGCCAACTGATTAAGTGCTGATTGCATGCCTTGGGCATTATCGCACAGTAAGACAATATCATCCGCATACTCAAGGTCGAGAAGTCGTTCTCCAGGCATCATATCCACACCGCCATTACTTACATCCATCAGAGCTGCTTCTAGGATGTCGTCGATGGCAAAGTTGAAGAGGAATGGTGAGATCGGGCAACCCTGCCTAACCCCACTGCTCGAATGGAACAAGGGAGAAAGGTGGTTGTATGCCCTCACTCTGCCTGAGGTGTTCGTATACAGGGCCTTTAAGATGTTAATGAACTTCTCAGGCACACCCTTCTTCAATAGACAATCCCAGAGAACAGTCCTGTCCAACGAATCGAAGGCCGCCCTGATATCAAGAAACACTACGATTGTTGGCCTGCGATAAGTATGACGGTGTTCTAACATTTGGCGGAGGGTGAAGATGTGATCAATGCATCCTCGACCAGAACGAAAACCAGCCTGCTCCTCGCGAGTCAATCGTTCTCGGGTTTTAAACAACCTACGAAGAATGATAGAAGCCAATAGTTTGGACGCAATCGAAAGTAGACTTATCCCCCGATAGTTATTGCAGGAACAACGTGAACCCTTTTTAAAGATAGGGACGACTATTGACTCATTCCAAGATGTTGGAACACTTTCTTGCTCCCAAACCTTTCCAAACAACGCAGTCAGTTCCTTAGCCAGAAAGTCACCACCATCTTTAAAAAGAGCCGGAGGTAAGTCATCTGGGTCAGGTGATTTATAACGTTTCAAGAGTTGGAGTTCCTTGCGGACTTCCGCCTCGTTTGGTGGATCAGTCGTCACCGGCCATGGGGAGCAGGACAAGCTGGTTGATGTTGCCGGAGCAGCAGGCCAGTTGAACTGCCCTTCGAAAAATTCCGCCCATCGTCCAAGACGTCGACAGATGTTAGTGATTGGCATCCCGTCATCCTCGTAGATTGTTTCACTCACACCAGACTTCTTGCTGCCAGTGGCTCGGATGAGTTGGAAGAGCTTCCGGCAGTTACCAGATGCAGCTGCTGCTTCCATCTCATTAGCACGCTCCAACCACCAGGCTTCCCGGTCCTTACACAAGCTTTGCCCGATTTCATTACGTAACAGCCTTCGTTTGTGGTCAAACTCACGGTCACCCGGAGTAGACCGACGGGCTTCCATCAGTTGTAAGGAGCCAGAAGAAACCCAGTGCTTGTAAGCGGGACGTTTCGCGAAGCCGCAAGCGGCTTTACTCGCCATTTTCATGGCGTCGTGAAGATGCAATCAATGCTCGTCTATACTTTTCGGTGGGGTGGTAGCTAGCCTAGAGGCTAGCTCAGCTCGATACTTACTTGCAACAGAAGTTGCAGCCAGTTTACTAATATCAATCCGTTGGTGGTGGTCAATCCTTCGGCCACTGAAAAGTAAGGTGAGATTGGCGCAGACCAGAGCATGATCAGACTCCAGATAGGTACTCCAAAAGGAGCGGCAGTCTTGTACACAACCACGCCAGCGGTAGCTGATCGCGATGTGATCAATCTGAGTCCAGGCTTGGGATGCAGAGGGAGGACGCCAGGTGGCACACCGGCGATGACTGTGCCGGAAGTTAGTGCTGGCCAGAAACAGGTTGTGGTCTGTGCACAGTTGCAGCAAACGGTCCCCGTTATCTGTCCGGCGACCAACAAGTCCCCATCGGCCACCTAGACGACTCTCTTCTGTGCCTAGACGCCCGACCTGTGCATTCAAGTCTCCGGCTAGTACTACAATATCTGTCGAACGCGCTTTCTGGAGAAGAACTGTTAACTGATGGTAAAACTCATCCTTGATTGCATCCGGGCTGCAATCTGTCGGGGCATAGGCGGAGATGACGAAAAGACACCGTTTCTCACGCCGACTTCTTCTCACTTTGATGGAACTTTTTAATCTAACAGCACATAACCGACTGTTAATGGGGATCCAATCGATTAGTGCTGCCTCAGCTCTAGCGCTTAGTGCGACACCAACGCCAGCAAGACCAGACGAAGATGCCACAGGGTCCCCGGATAAGCGCACGTGGAACAAGCTTTTCGAGGCGACAGATGGAGAGCGGATTTGTAGTACTTCACTAGAGTCTTGAATACCGGTCTCGGATAGACAACAAACGTCAACATTAAGACCTTCCAAAGACATAGCCAGCCCTATCTGTTGTCTGATCTGCATTAGTGTGCGAACGTTGAAGGAAGCCAGCTTGAACGGCGTACGTGGTTTCAGAAAGACTGCCTCAGTATTCATAATCGGTGGAAGCATTCACTTTCAACCAGACAGTAACTGGAGATCGTTTAGATAGGACAGATTTTCCACCAAGAGCGAGCTGCTGCATAAGTTGAAGAGTAAGGTTACACAAATTGGGGGATAAAAGGGGTGAATTAGCGATATGGTAAGTAATAATAATAATAATAATAATAATAATAATAATAATAATAATAATAATAAAGGTAATAATAATAATAATGTTATTGTCTTGCTTTTAGTATGACCAGGGATATCGTCAATAGAGTTCATAATTTCATTCATTTGTTTGTGTGTGGGCTGTGATACTGCCCGGGTGCCCAAACCGAAGCAGGTGGTTTTCTTAGGGGACCACACCCCGAGCCTTTGACCTAAAGGTCTGATCCACAAGGCAGTGGAGCATCGTGAGGAGATGCAGTCCCATGGTAGCCGTTGACCAATGACAGGTTCTTCCGCCATTCGTTCCATCAGGATACTGGAGCCCATGTGCACCATTGGTTTGTAATCAGGGTTTTCCAACTCCCCTAGGTGGACCCTCCGTGTCCACCAATCCGGTTATAGCGCCGGACATTCGCTTTTCGTCCTCTCACTTTTGTGAACAACACCCCCGCCACGAGAAGGCAGTGAGTAGGACTTCCCTGGCAGAGGCTATATATTCGCTGGCCATGTGAGAGCATTTCGAGAGGGAAAGTAGACTCTCCCCACTCTCGGCCGTACCAGGGCATTTGGGGGCCTTCCACTACAAACGGGAAATATTATCGTTATGATCGCTTAACTTAGTTATTGTTGTAATGTCGTTAGTACATCATCAACTACAGTCACTTAATTATGATTAATTTTACAGAACTCTATAAAAGTAATGTCCTCGTTATGCATGAATAAAGATTTTTAAAAGCTGAATGTTACAACTTAGTATTATACTTATAAAACCAGAAATCTTGATGGTAAAGGTAACTGTTATCACTCATCTAACCTTTTGTTGTTTGATTGTAAGCTTGAGAGTAATGGCATTTTTAAAACTAATCAAAACATACATTACCTAAAATTTCATGTCATTTTAAATCAGATATAACCATACTACTTAACTGTATTAAGATAATAAATTTTGGATTTTAGCTCATGTGGATTTTAATTGTACTTTAATGTTTTTTAAACATGAGTAATATCTAGAGTCCTAAATTCAAAGTCAATAAAATCATAGAAATATTAATTGACTTACTTTATTCTTCAAATCATCTTTCAAACTAGTCTGATCAATTATAGCTTCATGTGCTTTGGCGGTATATGTAGAATCCAGTGCAACAAATATATTTTTTAAGTCATTGACTTGTTTATCGTGTTGTTGCTTAGTAAAGTTTTCTTCTGATTTTAGGAAAAGTATATTATTTGAACGGTTTTAAATACAGAATATATATTGATATGATCTACCTTTTAAGAATTCTTCTAACAAAGAGTGTAATTCCTTTTCATAATTAGTTTTTAATTTATATAATCTTTGATTTTGTAAATCTAATTTTCGTAAAAAAGATAAAATGAGAAAACTAATTACATTTAACAAATTTGACAAAATTATTTTAGAAACTCTTAATTAAGTACCAGTATATGTAACGTAATGATGATCATCAACTCCTTATCTTACAATGATTGAAATAATGCATGTTAAATTTCACCTTTTCAAATTATGTTATATAAGTTCACTTGGTATTGTTTGGTTGAATCTTCCCATTGACGTTTAGGACTGCAATTGATCAGTCTCTTATTGGCCATATGTGCATACTGTGCGTATTGCCTCGATATAACCTTAGTTCACAAGCATTATAAGCAAAGATGGTTAGTGGCTAGCACAAAATCGAATCAGTTATTAGTTTTTTCTTAACCATTAATTACTCATTGTGAAGGACTTAATTGGACGACTGACCTTGTTAAGGAATTAACACAGATTCATTATAGAAATATGTGCTAGTGCATTTTATAAAACGAATATTGGAGAATGTTGTGAATATCCAGAATGTACTTACATTTCGTGTTGAAGGAGAAAACAGTGCTGACACTATATGCTACCTAGCTCTATGTATTTCGACAAATGTCGTGAAGTCAGCCCAATATCTTATAAAGCCTTGCACATGAGTACATCGTTGTGCTACTTGAAGTCATCAATTACGATCAGAGTATCCTACATGCTTTGATCCATTATTATATTGGAGGATAGAACTTTAACAAAAGTAATGTATTCCTTTGATACTTAATTACTTACATCTTTTACCCCTCATGGAGGAGTATAGGCTACTCACCAGTATTCTCCATTCAATTCTGTACTGAGAAATCCTTTCCAGTTGCTATTCTTCCTTTTCATGTCTACTTCCAATTCTCGGCGCAGTGTGTTCTTTGGCCTTCCAATTTTTCGTTCCCCTTCAGGATTCCAGGTTAGGACTTGTCTCGTGATGCAGAGTGATGATTTCCTTAATGTGTGTCTTATCCACTTCTAATATCATTTCCTAATTTCTTGCTTCGCAAGAAGTTGGTTTGTTCCCTTCCATCGCAGGTTGTTGCTAATGGCATCCGACCGACGAACATTCGGAATCTTACGTTGATAATTGTTTACAAATACTTGTACCTTTTTGATGATGGTTGTAGTAGTTCTCCAAGCTTCAGCTCCATACGGTAGAACTGTCTTGACGTTAGTATTGAAGATTCTGACTCCGATATTGATTGACATTTGTTTTGAGTTCCATATGTTCTTCAATTGTAGAAATGCGGTCCTTGCTTCGCCAATCCTCGCCTTTACATCTGCATCAGATCCTCCTTTTCATCGATGATACTACTCAGATAAGTGAAAATTTCCACCTCTTCAAGAGTTTCGCCTTCAAGTTTGGTTGAGGTGGTGTTTTCCGTATTGTATTTGAGGATCTTGCTTTTCCCTTTGTGTATACTGAGGCCTACTGATACACAGGCTTCTGCTACAGTGGCCTGCATTTGATGATGTCTATCGGATAGAGAAGGGCCAGATCATCTGTAAAGTCCAGATCTTCTAATTGGTTTCGAGCTGTTCATTGTATTCCGTTCTTTCCCTCAGATGTCTAGGTCTTCATAATCCAGTCGATCATCAGAAGAAAGAGGAAGGGGGAGAGTAGACAGCCTTGTCCAACTGCGGTCCTTACTAGAAATGCATCTGTCAGTTGTCCTACATACACGGCTTTGCACTGTAGTCGGTCGCATGAATCCTGGATGTTGACGATTTTCTTTAAATGATGTTAAATGCTACATAACTTGTCGATCTAAAGAAGCGAAAGCTGCATGAAGGCAGAGAAATAGAACTCGGGCTGGAAGTTAGTAGCCATTTCTGTGTTCCACAATCTTGCAAGGAGTGAATATTTAGTCTAAACATCCATGCGATGTTCTAAAACCAACCTGATTTGATCAAGTTCGTTTTTCCCGAGCCTGGTTAAGCTTTGGAGAATTAAAGTGCTTTAGACAACATATTAGTCAACCTGATTTCTTGATGGTTGCCATAAGAGACCTTTTGTCCCTTGTGTAAGACTGGAACTATCAGTAGTCGAGACCCATTAGCGAATACGATCTTCGCCTAATCAATTTAGTTATATCCATAAAATGTCCATGAGTAAGTATTTCTTTAGAAGTACTTTCAACCTATGTTATATATAGAGGGTATTAATGTAAGGTTGATATTTATTGAGAAATCACTAATTTCTTGATAGTAACTTGAAATATTACTAAATATCGAAATGAAAAGAATCTGGTAAGTACCTTGCTGTGGATTGATTTTGCATTTTACCAAGAAATACTTTGTAATTGAATGAAAATTTGTCACTTGATGTGTTTACCTGAACTATGATTATCATTGGGTTTTTTTCATTTTTGTTATTAGTTTATCAATCTCCCTCTACAATTCTTTCACAATATTTTCATTTAATTTTGTTATACAGACAAGGTGTTTTTCAGTTTCAATCGTCAACTTTGTATAAATATGAAGTTTTATCACTACAGACCGCAATTTGTGGTGGATACCTTGAGATTTGTTTGTAGTTTGTATGATATCAAAAACAACGTGTGAAAATTTTCTGATAACCAGTAAAAGTTCAAATTGTTACAAATGAATATCAACCAAACGGCAACCAGTGATTGCAATAGTATAACTAATAATAAGTATCAGCTTAGTTATTTTATTTATTTAATCACATATATATTGGTACAAAGGGCACCGGATACATATGCGCCACACGTATCAGCTTAGTGTAATTATCTTTTATTTGCCTGCATGAAAATATAGTATTCTTGGACATAAACATCGTTTTAATAATGACAACGAATGTACAAAGGTGGTTTTATAGCTTAATTCTTCATCCATACTGAAAATAGTATAGTGATAACTGACTCTTATGAGTGAAATGGATGTTCAAATGATTGACGATAATGAGTTACACATGATAATAATAAACATCACTGATAAGCAACAATATCTTCAACTACTCATTACATAATCCAAATAGTGTTGGTCAATTTGACCTAAAAACACTGATAAGATGAATAATGTTACACCATTTTGAGCTATTGAAACTTATTAATGAACAATGAATAGAATGATTTTGCCTGATAAATATATCATAGCATGACAATGATAGTATATACGATTTAATGCAACTATATCGCAACATTGATATTCGATTGAATAATCAATTATTACATGTATGGTTATTACGCACAGAAGTCCTGTTAAAAAGTTGACTGATTGAACTATCTTATATAGTTAAATTTTGTGTAAATAAAGAAACCCTCAAATATTTATTCAAAAGTTCACTATGATCTTCTTTAATGATCTGCTTAATAAAATGTCATAGAATATGATTATCACAACAAAGTAGTCAGTAGAATTAAGGTATAATATATAATACCAGTCCCATAAGTAGTATGGCATTACATTATAAATTAACAGACGATTTGACTAACAGGTTGAATTGATTAAAATGACACAACAGTGTTCTTTTTACTTTTCATTTATTATTATTAATATTGCAACTTGTAAAGCCTTGTTACCACGAGCCAAATATTTTCGAGTAGTATTCATACCTTTCAACTAAGACTATCTAATCGACCGATACAAGCAACAAATTTAAGGGTGAAAAAACTGTTCGTGTGTGATAAACAGGTCATGATGAAATATTCAACTAGTATAAATTCTTTAGGTTAAACAAAAAATGCCATTTACCTATCAAAATATCTACATTCTGTAAATGAGAACGCAAAGCCATCAAATGCTGTTCATCTGCCTCACTAAGATCCGCAACAAGTGTTTTGATTATACTTTCTTTTCTTTAAAAAATATTGAACAAACGAATCGATAAAAAATTTAGGACATTGACGCTTTACCGGTCCATAATTCTTTCAAATGTTTGTGATAATATTTCTATAGTTCTTTTCAATTCTTTTGACTTCGTTTCTCTCATAATAGTTCGCCAATGATGTGTCAGTTTTGCTTGATTAAGTTTGGTAAATTTTTCCTCATGATGAAGTTTATCCTATATTAACAGTCGATAGTTTTCAAATTGAAGGGGATTATACCAAAAACTGACTTGTAGATATTGAGTTAACAGTGTCATCTTTTTTGTCTTTAATTCTTCTTCAGAAACTCTTTGTTGTTCAAGGAAAATCGCTCTTTCTTCATCAGTCATTTTTGTTAGTTTGCCAGTTTTCTTTTTTCTTTTTGGTGCCATTTTTGTCTATTTTTCTATTGATTTTTAATTATTAGAAGAATACTGAATTTGTATTTCGTACTAAAATATGCAATCTGTCGAATGAATAAAGCACAGATTATAACTTAAAAAGCAATAACACATACGGAATATAACGACATCAATATCTCAAATATATACGATGAATTAACGTGTTGTTAAACGTTTCCGGAGACGTAAGAATAATATCTACTGTAAACACGCTTATAAGATTGTCACAAATGTAAAGTAAGTGGCAAAAAATGAAGAGATTACTGATCATTACTGAATTCAAACGAAATAGGCTTTTTGAAGATCTAACATTCTGATTAAATTACGTCGGTAAACTAATTGTATACTACAAATAAAAATAAGCAACATAGATGTATTTGTTTCAGTGGAATTCACTGGGCTACTGATACCGAATTTAGGCCGCATTATTCAACATCGGAGTATATGAATTACGCTTAACAAGCAAAGAGGTGCTTCCTAAAATTCTCATGACAAAAATTGCAAGCATTTTGGATGATTTTACAGACATAAACTAGCAATCGAGAAATAATAGTGCTCAACCTAACTGTTTAACTAAATAGTGTGTAGTGTAACCCAAAGATATTTAGCTTTCAAATGGAAATAATGTCCCTAACTGGTTTAGTTTGGAGTTTATTCATTGATAATCTGGTTTGCCGTATACTTATTAATCATGACTAAAATCGTATTACAGTGTAGACAAGCAAATGAAAAAAGAGACTGACCTTTTAGTCATCCATGCAGAGTAGGAAAGATTGAGTTAAATTTAATTTATGTTTTGCTTATATATATACTTAAAGTTTCAGCTCTTACTGCTGGTTAGAAATACAATGGTAGCTTTGGAGCCAGACCACCTGGTTTATAGAATAAAAGTCCGTCGAAATCATCCATTTGAATCATAGTTCTACTCTATGGATTCTTTAATTTAACTTAATTATTTATTTTTATAACTGTTGTTGAAGTTTTATACTCAATTGTATAACCACATTCATAATGCTTCATACATACAGGTTGATCTAAGCAACACAACTAAATGCATAACCAATGTGTGTAAATGAGAAAAATTTTCTATTTACTTTGGTATATAGCCCTAAACTAATTACGATTTATTAGTATCAAGTATGCAGGTACTTTTTTAACAGCCAGTAGGAAAAACAATTGATCTTGTTAAGTTGGAACCGTCCAGTAATTTTTCGTCCTCTTTTTATGCTGTCTACTTAGAACCACAGTTAGTAAAGTCAGGTGACTTCATATCCAAACTCATTATTTTGGTTCTATGTAGCTAAAAGTAATTGGTAGACAGAGTTTTGTTTAATTTATGAGTTATTCAGTACTAGTGTGTAATAATTATTCTTCAGTTTACGAAATATTCGTGAAAGGACAGTTTGGAATAATAAATACTAGATATCTAACAATAAATTTGAAAGATTATAATTAGAAAACTTCAGTCAAGAATTTCTGCAAGGCAGTTGTGCGTGACAGTAATATATAATTGCACAAGAATTTGTACGATTATCAATACTTAAATAAACATATCAGTTTGCACAAATCACTAAGCACAATTACGTAAATGTCAATGTAAGTTAGCTTATTCCCTTACCACAAAGTAGTTTGATTACATATACGACGACCAGTAATTTATTTATGCCAAGCAGGCTATATGTTAAAATATGGTTCGTAAATAACAAAAAAATTGGAAAGATGTTTTAGTACATATGAAGTTACCCATCAAGGGAAAATTTCGTGAAAACTCGTGTGTTCTTTTTGTTCCACTGGAGAGACTTATTAAAAGGAAAGCAGTTAGACGTTTAGATAGAAACCTGATTACTTTTAACCATAGGTATGGTCTTCGAAACATTAGTTATTATTATGTAAATTATTTAAAATGTGTAAGATTGTATGGTGTAAAGTAGCACATGTTAGTTTGTATTGAAAATGCTACAAGTATTTGGGGTTTTACAATACATTAGCCGGTAACACCTTCTATAATAGAAACGTGTCAACCCAGTAAAATCAGAGTTCAAAAGCGAAGAGATTCGAAGATATACCTCATAGGCTGTCAATATATCGAGACGTGACTGATCTAAAATGACTAGCGGTTGTACAAGAAATTGAACTTAGTGTTTCCACTCGTGATCTGTTGCGGATGCGTGGTCGAGAACCTTCACTTAAGTGAGTTCATTAAAACTAATGTTGTCAGCATCGTATGTGGAAGACTTACAGAGATATTGATTTTGAGGACTTATTTACAGCTACAGTACATTTGACGTTTAGTCGCCTTAATATTTTTAATCAGATTGCACTCATTAAAGATTCATCCAAGCTCTGGAACATCGAATTAAAAGACATCAACTTTTATGAACTAAGTGTGCTGCTTCATAAACGAGTTAAATACTGATTTTAGCTAAATATCAACACCTGGCGGAATTCCTGCTACAAGTGGTTAACAAACAGTTTTTATTTTTGTTGCCAGAAGATGAATACGCATAGACGTTTGAAAAGGTAAACCATGCTCAGACTTTATTTGGTTTGTGTAGTTATTTTTACAAAGTGAAATACTGTAAAACTATGTAGTTTCTTGAAATCTACAACCATAGTGATGGTAAAAAAAATCATGAAAACGGTTATCTAGTTACCTACATATTCTGATATAATAATGTCAAAGATAGATGATGATAATAACAAAACGCAAAGAAAGCGGTAACCAACATGACGAAAAATTAGTCCCAAATATTACATATCAGGGACTAACAACCTGTTTGACAAAATGTTGTCGTATTGTTTGCTCCCATTGACTTTTCAGTCAGTTATCTTACGGATGTTTCTTCATTCCTGGATAAGTGAGTAATTTCTGTCATACTATCATTTCACAAACTAAAATATTTGTAAAAACTATGTTTCCTGGCCAAAATAATTCAAAAATCCCTTTGGCATGCCCTGAATAGTTTTAAAAGAAACCAAAAAGCAAGCGTCAGCTTTTCATACATCTCGCATCACTAGTTCTCAAAACATGTTTAACTTGGTGATGGTTATATAATATGTCGTAACTAATCAATGAAGTAAAACAATGTGGATAAGATCTCCCATACAAAACGCATTTATCACGCAAACAAGTATTACGTGAAAGGTATCAGATGTAAAGGTAACCATAGACTCCTCGAGTTTCTGTGTCCTATGAGCAAAAACGACATACAATCTTCAATTTTCAAACAAACAAATAGTTTGTGTTATGTATCTAAGACTTTTAAATTAGATAAACAAAAGCTGACTCAATTTACAATACCTTGGTTTTGTGCTTGTAAAGACTTTTTGATTTGTTCGACCTCACTTTTTGTTGTTTAAGTACGGTTCCTGGTATTTTATTCTGTCCAATATGTGGTAATACAGTCACTCAACCAAATTAATTCTAGTCATTGTGGTAGTAATTGGTAGATTTTTATGTTTCGTAGTTGAGTGAGTTCTTTTGTCTCACAACATAAATGTTTCTGAATACCAACGGCTATCAAACTTTCGGGCAGGAAGTTGGTTGGTAACAATGCGAAAACAATATGAGAATTCAAGTGCTAAGGGAAGATGATTATTTCAATGATAGATAATTAATTTACCTATCTAATAATTTGTTATATCACAAAGCTAAAAGTACAGAACGAAAATCAAGATAATAAAAAGAGAAACAGTGAGTAGTTTCTGATACACTGTAATGATAACCATGATAATTTTTGAGATATGCATCAGATAAAATTGGGATGGTAATCCATGTGTGATTACGTGTTTGTCAAGTCTCCATCCACTGAAGAGGATGTGATCAGTTCGACTGGGAGACCGTTCCGAATGGAGGCAACTCACAGCGGGAAAACGTCAAAGCTTGCCTAGATGTTTGTTATTCGACGTTCAATCTTACAAGGGTCACCTCGTGGAGATTAGTGATTATCTAATAATATGCTCTTGTTGATGCAGTTTGGCGTACTTAATATGTCGTTTGTCATCATGAGATCACTTCTTATCCCCCTGTAGCTCAGAGACAATAATCCAATGTGTTGTCTTTTCTCTTCGTTAGATCTGTATTTTAGCCTTGTTATCCACTTGCCTACCCATCTCTGTACTTAGTCCAAGCGATTTCTATCGCTTTTGAGGAGTGGATGTATGATAACATTGTAAACCCTAGGAGGAGTTCGAAAGTATGTTTTAAACGGCCATGGGAAAAACTCTTGGGAAATGGCGCCGACTTGTATAAATGTGAAGTAGGGAATTCAGCTTATCATCGCATTTCAACTGTTGTCAGGCTTTCTTTTGTTACAAGGTCAAGATCGCGCCTTGGAGAATCAGTAAGGAGTGGCCCTTCGTTGAGAATGTAGGTTCTTTGTGTTGCTTGAGGCAGAATGTTCACTACATGATACTTCGACAGGCCAGATTTTAAACCATTAACTACCCTCCATTCCTCTACATTGTATGCAATTTCAATGTGTTGATGCATAGTAAACTAGTGACACTCTCATTTACACTTCGATTGGTAGGTGACTGTTACGCAGCCCAGTGATCAAAGGCGAAAGCCTACTACGTGTGCATATTTTCCTCTTTCTTTGTTCCGTGACCTACTGAATACTTTTTTCGACTCATTGTGATCGAGCTGACATAAAACGAGGAGATAAAAAAGTTAGCAGCAAGACGAAAGGCTTCGGCTGTCTATTCTCCACATATGTGAATACCAGCTGATCATAACAGAACCCAACATTTTTCAAACACAAAAAACTAACGGTTGTCATTTATTATTATTAATGGCTTTATTCAATATTATAATCTGCAATAAGCTAAGAGTAAAATAATGAGGACTGACAGACAGATAAAGTTGAATGCAGCCAGAAGCAGGTGAATCTAAGAACATAAGACCGAACATTTAGCGAAACGGTTGTTCATCGAGTGGGCTGTGTATAGGATCTTCTTCAATGCTTGATCGAATACATTCCTTCACTGTTATGTATGAAACCTAACAAAGTCAAAATCAGTTTTTAGATAATAGGTTATTTTAAGGAGCGACTTACCACGACACAACAAACTGCAGTTTATTTCAGTTGTCTAATAAATTAATAATAATAATAATGATAGTAATAATAACTCTCAAATAACAGTTTGTTATATGAGGCATGACAGTTTTCAGGCAAGATCAGATTGTTGCAAAAGTTACAATGTTTACTGTAGTAAATTAGTCAAGCAGGTTGATGTTTTGTAAGATATGAATGTAGTTGGTTTTAGTAAGAAACGTACTGCCAATATCACAATTGGAGCGTTTTATAATAATGGTAATAATATATTCTGAAAATAATAATTACAGAATTCACACTAGTTTACGGGCATGATCAATTTGACATGAATCGCAACATTTGATGTAGAGAACAAACATCTGATATAAGATTGTTTTATGTTTGCTGGTTCACTAATTGTTAAGTAGTTTATTTAAGACATGTATCACGGCAATCCAATGCATCAACAGGGAACTTTCAAATTTTTCTTCAGTGGATAGCCTGATGATTTATGAACGGTGTTATTTAAGGTTATTTCCAGTGCCAGAACGAGTTATTGATAATCATCTACAACTAGAGAAAGTAACATTAAAGCAGAGAGCACGGAACAACAAAACAATGATTACCAAAATACGTCGGTCAGGTTTACCACTGTTCATGTTAGATATTGTTCAAGCGAGTTAAGGTTGCTGGTGACAGTTTTAATGTAAAGTGACAGCAAGTAAATGGTTAAACATTTAAATTTCCTATAATCTCATTTGTGGAGTAAGGTACACTTACAGGCGCTAGAACATTTAATGCATTTTGAGAGGAGCAGTGTGCATCAATGCAGCAAACAATGGGATAGACTTTATCGTACGGATAAATTGTGGGAGATTATCCTAGGGTCCAGAAATTTTACTGGTAAAGTAATTCATATGTTATGGTTTCCCAGATTTTATGATGTTACATATATCGTTTATATACAGTAGAAACAAAAGTGGGCCTAATACACCTCCCTGGATAACGCCACTAGTTATTGGTCTAGGTAATGAGAGACAGTCGTCGTACTTTACCATTTGTGTACGTCCCTTTAAAAATGAAACAAACCATGAATAGAGTGGGTTGTTGATTCCGAAGGACCGTAGTTTGGCTAGAAGCCTTTTGTATGGAACCTTATCAAAAGCTTTCTTGAAGTCTAAAAATACGTCTGATACAAGGAGTCCATTGTCTCGTTTCAGAGTTATATCATTCATGTAGTCCACTAGGCATGTATAAATAATAATAATAATTTATTCTCAAATAACAAATTGTTACATGAGGCATGCCGGTTTACAGGCAAGATCAATTTGTTACAGAAGTTACAATTTTCATTGTAGAAAATAACTCAGCTGGGTTGATATTTCATAAGATATGAATGTAAATGGATTTCGTAAGAAACATATCAATACCACACTTGACGCACTTTATGGAGGTAGCGTTGCAACATACAACTGATGGTCGAGAATAGATACATGCGAAGTTGGGGGCTTTTAGAAGTTTCGAACTTATATCCATCAGGAATATCTGAGGCTTTAATAACGGTGTAGGACGAAGTCACCCGTGCCATATCTGTTTTCGGTGGAATATCTCCAGGGGGCTGAAGAAGGTGTAAGAAAAAGAAAGGACGAAAAGCAGAGCACACAATATGCATGGAGGAATAGTCAAGGTATCACCATTTAGTCTATTTGTCTGTTACTGAAGTCCTTATTAGGTAAGAGTATACTAATGTGTTAAAGAAAAATAAATGTGAGCAAAGTATGAGTGGACAAAAAACTGTATAAATGAAGGTAGTTCAGAAGGAAGTATGGAATTATGTGTAATTATAAAATAAAGTTCTGAAAACAGTATTCCGATGCAAGTGGCTGTTTCCTTTTTTTCGAAGCTGTTTGAACTCTCTTTTTTGTATTTAAATTTTATAGGGTATGGAGTGTGCTTCATTTTTGGCCAATTGTCTAGTTTGCTTGTAATAGGATTACTCGGTAGAAAGTGGAACCAATTCAGCTTTTTTTAACATGATTTAAAGTGGTATTTTTCATGAATAATTTCACATCAATACCGTTGGTTCGTGACATTCCACTAGACATAAGGAGCCGTAATTAATATGTTCTGTCCCACAGACACGGGTGGATTGAAGTTATCTTCCCACCATCATGTTTGCTGGTCGGTAACGCCGCCCTGTCATCATTAATTGCAAAGGATGAACAAATATAGATTTTTATGTTTTATATATGTGGTGAAGATAAAATAAATCTGACAAGTTAGTTTATTTAACGGTAATTTTTGTTTTAGTGATGGTAATGTAAATCCATATTTAGGTTAAGGCAGCGGCCAATGTGGATAAATCCACTTTTGTCAATATTAAGTGGCACAGTCCACGAAACAGTCGATTCGTACAACTTGTTTCTTTATTCTCGAATTACAGCTGAAATATAGCTCTTTTTGACAGGAGATGAGAATGAAGAAACCACATTTAGATCATCGGCAAAAGGAAAAGGTTCACCATATTGAAAGAGGGAACATACGTCATTGATAAACAGGAGAATTAATAATGGACCTATTACACTTCCTTGTATAACCCCACTGGTTACATTCACAGGTTTGGATTAGCAAGATCCAAAGCGGACAATTTGGCCACGTTCTCCTAAAAATACTTTGAGCCCAGATAAAAGCGGATTCTGTATTCCAAATAAAGATAGCTTTAGAAGAAGTTTGTGCGAGACGCTGTTGAAAGCCTTATTAAAGTCGAATTACAGAGTTATCACTGACTGATCAACATCTCTTATATGCGTAATTTGATCAAAAATTTTCAGATGCGATGTGAAGCATGAGCGTTTGGTCACAAACCCGTGTCGAGATGGTCTAATTAGACTAGCCAAAACTAAAAATGATATTAGCTGTCTGTGGATGATTTTTCCATGGTTCTTGATATCACGGGTGCCAAATTAATTGGTCTGTAGTTAACAATATCACTACGTAATCCGGTTTTGAATCTAGGGGTGTTAGGATATGTTTTATGTGCAGATGGATAGGCTCCATATTCAATAGATAGGTTGAACAGTTTTCCCTACTACTATATTTCACAAATGACGAAGGAATACTACCAAGTTCAACTTGGCAGTAGGGAAAACTGTTCAACCTATCTATTGAATATGGAGCCTATCCATCTGCACATAAAACATATCCTAACACCCCTAGATTCAAAACCGGATTACGTAGTGATATTGTTAACTACAGACCAATTAATTTGGCACCCGTGATATCAAGAAC